TGGGCAAGAAACAATTAATTTATTAATTAAATATCTTATTTATCTTGGATTTATGTCCCAAAAATAAATAAAGACATTAATTAATAAAATATTAAAATTTCGATGTCTACACCTGTGAATTTCCAATACCATTTACAAGGAAAATTACCCAAATTCAGAGGCCCTTTACATGTTTTTCTTTTGACCGATTTGACGTAGCCACATGAATTGATAATAAACTCAGATAATATATTAGCTGATAGCATAAGCGAATAGCCGATTATATTAGTTGATTGTAATAGTTAGTTTGACTAGCGAATTATATTAAATCCATGTAAATATTTGTTTAGTAAATAGTGACCTGTAAAGCTATTTTGGAAATCTTATATTAAAACGTTATTCTACGAATCTACAAAACGCTCTTATATTGAGTGTTGTTTTTCGAAATTAACATTTTACGCTAAAAAGAGCAATCGCGTAAGTTCTTTACCGAACATGATCATAGTGTATTAAAGGTAAATATTATGGTATTTAAAGTAATAATAATAATTATTATTATAATTATAATAGTAATAATAAAGAAGGAGGAGGAAGTAAGCAATTTGGAGTGATGTCTGACTAATTGAAAGCTCCATTGTCATTTTCAAGAGGAAGAATCAACAATGCCACCACATCTGATGTAATAAAACATGGTGAAGGTAGTTGGGAATTTGGGCTAAAATGTATAGTTCTGTTGATTGATTACATAACATTCAAACAATAATGCCAAAAAAAAAATGCCAGTGTAAAACTTGAGCTTCTAAAATCTACAACTATTCACACATTTTTGTGGTCAAATCTACCATCAACCGGTCTGATGAAAATATAAGTCCGAGTAGATTTTTAGTGGCAATGTAAAATATCATATTATTTAAGGTTAATTATATAGGCAATATTATTCACCGCCTCGTTTATTAATAGTCACCGTCCATTTGAACGTTTTTGTCCTTCACTACTCTCCCTCTCTCTACTTTCTCTCTGCTCTTTCCTTCTCGATCTTTACGGCTCTTTTGACCGTCAAAAAAATTTCAAAAAAGTACCAAAAGAATATCATGACATCCGCAAGACATTGAAGATTGACCATGTATTTTTTTTTTTTACTTTGTAAATAATTTTTAAATTTTTTTATTTATTTTTTTTGGCGCGTCCTACCGGCTTGACCGGACGGGCACGGTGCCGTCCTACCGGCGAGGCCGGACGCGCCAAAAAAAAATAAAATAAAATAAAAATTATTTACAAAGTAGAAAAAAAAATACATGGTCAATCTTCAATGTCTTGCCGATGTCATGGTATTTTTTGACATTTTTTCAAAAAATTTTGACGGCCAAAGGAGCCGTATAAAATCGAGAGGAAAAAAATAGAGAGAGAGTAGTGAAGGGCAAAAATGTAAATGAGGGAGGGCGGTGAATAGTAATAGGGGGCGGTGAATAACAATTCACATTATATATGCATTATCTTAAAAATATGTCTAACTAAATAAGCTATACCAAATCATGTGAGAACAACAGTATGTGCGGATCTAGCTCGTAAAATGAGTGGGGGCTAATTATTTTTAAAAACATATTAATACTTGACAACAAAAGTATAAATAAAAGGCTTAAATCCATAGTTATTTTTATGAATTTTCATTGTTTGGTATGGTGTTAGGATCAACAATTCAAAACCAAGTTCTCCATCAAAGCCAACATACAAGCTCAAATGGGGTTCCATTCTAAAATCAATTGGCAATAGAAGGAGTAACTCACCAAACTTATATATTGAACTTGGAACCTTTAATTTTCGATGTGGATTGGATTTGCACACCCTACAAACCTCCACTCAAACACAAGACACATTGGGCCTCCACTTGAACCAAATTCATACGATCCGATCATCTTGTACCGCCGTTATCACCCACGAAAGTCACCGCCTGACCACACCGTTTCGCCAGGAAGACTTTCGAGACAAGGCACACGAATCCACCGGCCCTTTCGGCTCCACGAGTAACATGTCACGTCATCCACATTGCAATTGGGCTACCAACTGTGGCTCTGATAACAATTGAAAACTCAATTCTCCATCAAACTCAATATACAAACCCAAATGGGGTGTCATTCTCAAACCAATTGGCAATAAAAAGTTCCCACCAAACTTATATATTGGGCTTGAAACCTTTAATTTTTCGATGTGGGATTGTGTTTGCACACCCTACATATGGCTCTAAATAGTGGAATTTTTTATTATTTTTTTCTTTCGGCTCAACGATTTTAGTATTCACCTCAAGTATAGTTGGACTAAAATTAACTAATATTGAGATATTTCACATGATTTTTTTGCTAGCCACTTTCTAAAAATATTTTTCCATAAGTTGATATAAAAAAATAAATTATAATGTATAAAATTCTTTGTCTAATATATCAAGTTTTAAGAGTTCTACAATTTATGTTTTTCCACATTAGTATTCTAGATAATTAACAAACAACCATTAGTAAGCTATAAGAATGCTAAAAAAGACTAACAAATGTTTAATTTTTTTCTTTCAAACCTAATAAAAAGAATGGATATATTTATTTTCACCAAAATCAATAATTCTTTCCCAATTTTTTTCTATTTGTCTTTTTTAGCAAGATTTTGTTTTTAATTTTTCTTCTTTATTGATGGAGTATTAACCCATTTTTTAGTTTTATTGGATACTAAGCTGTAAAAATTTTCTTTCCAATGGTGCCCTTTTGGATACGCCCCTGACAACAGCATAATCAACGGGTTATAAAAAAATCTTTTGAATTGCAGGAACATTTTTTTCTTATTGTGTTTTAATTTTTAGTACAACAATTCAAACCTTATGCAATTGGATATGATAAAATTTAGCGATTGGTGAATAAAAGTTAGCTGAAGAATTCATAATTAAATAACTATCCCCCTATATATTAATACAGAATGGGCTGAGCATACGTGGCTGCTTCTGGTGCTTCGGAATCCTATGTGGCAAAATTACATGCTTCGTTATTAGGCTTGGGTATATTTTAATTTAATTCCAAACCAAAAATAATTAGGTTCGGATTACCATAAATATGCTGATTATTTATGGTCATGTTACATGTATTAATTGTATTTTAATATCATTCCTTATTATAACTATTGAATTGTATATATATTTTAAAAGTTAATAACTTTTGTATTTTTTATCAGTTTTACAAATGTAATATATCAAATTAATCATCTTTTGATAAGCTTCGATTTAACATCCATATTGTATGTATAAAAAAAATAATTTATATTTATCTTTATAATAATAATAAAACTATTTTTTATATTAATTAGAAAAATAAAATTATTTATCAACTAATATATTTATATTTCAAGTAGTTATATGATATAAGTTATAAAAACTAATATAATATAACACATGTAAGTCATAAGTAACACATATCATTCTAAAATATATAGTAATATATTTATTTTTTTGTAAAAAAGTAAACTAAATTTAATATAATTTTCTCATTAATTTTAAAATTTAAGAATAATTTTTTAACAAGCACCCGTGTAATACACGGGTATTGTACTAGTGTGATAGTAAAAACAAGATTAGATAAATAATAATTAATATTTAAACACGTGAATGAATGAATAACAAATTTTATTGAAAATTACATTTTAATAATTTTAATTTAAAGATATTATTAAAACTTTGAATAAATATGACTAGAATAAAAAGTAAAAAATAAACAAAATATATAAATTCTTTAATTGGTGAGTGAAGCAACGATATGGAATAAAATAAAATAAAATTCCAATGGCATCATTTTGGAGATAAATAAACAAATATTTTTTAATTTTTCCGTTATAAATTAGACGCCACCCTCTTCCTCTTTGTCATTGTCCGTGAAAGTGCCTCTCTGCATCAAAAGTGAAATTTGTGAAGAAAAAATCACACAGAGCTTCGGATGACGATTTCTTCCGTCGACAGTTCATTAGACTCCGCCGGAAGGTGAACTCGACGCGCCCCATTTCCCTTTTCAATTTCTTTATGTGATATTTGATCTCGATTTTTCTTTTTTTGTTCCATAAAAATTGGTTCTTGATTTTCTGCTATGACCACATAAGCTCGATCCCTCCCTCATTTTCGATTCTATTAGACTTTTCCTTTCGAATCTCGAACTGGGCTTTTGGTTTTTATTCTGCAATTGAGCCCTTGGTGTGTAAATCATTAGCTCGGTGTGTGTGTGTGTGGCCGATCGTCTTCCTGTATTGTCTGGTATTTATTTATTTATTTATTTATTTTGAATTTTATGGATTTTTTATGCTTGATTTGGATTATAGTACTTCATGAATCGAAATTTACAAATTGGACCCATCATCCTGTGAAATACCTGAAGACTCATGGCAAAATTATGAGATGGGTTTAATTGGTTACACAATGTGGCATGTTGTGGTTGTTATGAATGTGGGGTGGCCACCGTGAAGATAGCGACAAATATGCATGTTTATGACTGCAACATGCATATACAGTTTCTATTTACTTTATGTTCATGTTCAAGAAACTGAGTATTGGTTTTGACATGCTATAATCAAAGGTCGACTGTTTATACCGGTTGCTTGATTGTTAGTTGATAACATCCACTCTTAGTTGCTTGAGTCTCATCTCGAATGGGCATGCTTTAAGCTTCTCTTAATGGTCTGCTACAAGCCTACACCAAGTTCTTGGATCAAAGCATAAGTAGGGGTGACAAATTGTGCTATTGTGTCGTGTTTTTGTGTTATCTATTTTGTTTGATCACAAAAATGTTACTACAATTTTGAATTTGATGCTTCACATGTGTTTCGTGTTGTGGTGCAATGTCGTGTCGTGGCCATTGTGTCATTTGTCTCTGTAATCATGTTTTCTAATCATATTGCGTGTAGTGCCAGCCATTGCTACCCCTAATCATAAGGCCACTTCTATTTTTTTTGCCTAAAGTGATGTCATTATTGTTCACACTTACTGATTAACTTTATCCCTATTAATATGATTTTACGGAGATGGTTATATTTGATCGCAAGTTATATAGCAACGATGAATATGAAATACATTCTTTATCTTTTTGTACCAAAAGTAACTTTGCAAGATGTCAGTCTTGTGTATGGAGATCCCATGGATCAACTGGAACAAAAATTCACTTGTCCATTTTATCTTCTTTGTCGACGCTTGTCCTTTCATTTTCACCATTTGAAGTGTAAAGTCTTGTGTATGGAGATCCCATGGATCAACTGGAACAAAAATTCTCTTGTCCATTTTATCTTCTTTGTCGACGCTTGTCCTTTCATTTTCACCATTTGAAGTGTAAAGTACCGAACATTCCCTTATCTATTAACTTCCAGCGCGAGATCTCTGTTGGAACTTGCCCCACTTGAAGCAGTATTATTTGACGTTGATGGCACTTTGTGTGACTCGGATCCCCTTCATCATTACGCTTTCCGTGAGATGCTCCTAGAGGTTAAGCTCGAACTTTACTCGTTTGCTTTCATTATATCATGATAAAATAAACACATTCTGAACCTAAATTTCCAAACAGATTGGCTTTAATGATGGAGTCCCTATAACAGATGAATTTTTCATCAAGACTATTGCTGGCAAACATAACGAAGATATTGGCCGTGCCCTTTTCCCAAATGATCGCGAACGAGCCGTGAAGTTTCTTGATGATAAAGAAGCCATGTTCAGAAGGATAATTAAGGATAAAATGGAACCTATAAAAGGTTTATACAAACTAACAAAATGGATTGAGGATCGAGGGTTGAAGCGTGCTGCCGTGACTAATGCTCCCAGAGCAAATGCCGAGCTGATGATCTCATTACTCGGGCTTTCGGATTTTTTTCATGCTGTCATTATCGGGAGTGATTGTGAACGTGCAAAACCATTCCCAGATCCTTACCTAAAGGCACTTGAGGTGCTCAATGTGTCCAAGGAGCACACTTGTGTATTTGAGGTTAAAGATGCTCGTTTTTTATTTTCTTCGTACTTGGTTTTTTTTTACACGTCTTTAACCTCTTTTTTTTTTTAGGATTCTGTTTCGGGAATAACAGCCGGGGTTTCAGCCGGGATGCCGACTGTGGGGTTGACGACTAGGAATCCAGCTGAGCTTTTAAAGGAAGCAAAACCGGCACTTCTCATTAGTGATTATGAGGATCCAAAACTTTGGACTGTCCTTGACCAGCTTGATAACGCTGCGAAATGACAGGCTCGGTTTAGTTGCTGTTAACAAACTGAAATTCAACCCTTTGTCTTTCACTATTTATCGTGCCACTGAACACTCTAAAGACCTTATGAGGAGAATAAAAGGATGTTTTATTGATGCATTTTCACTATTCGGCTTTTTTATTGTTGAATTACTCAAGTTTTTCGAACAAAAAATTGAGGGCTCGTGGCTAGCCATAGAGCACGTCGAAGCCCAAAAACTCCCTCCAATTAGTGTTGTAACCGATTCGAACGAGCTGAGTTCGTGTTTGTTTACGTTCGAATAATATTTGTTTTCATTTCGTTTATTTTTTGAGTAAAAAATCGTGTTTCAGCTTGTTCGTTTAGTTGTTCGTGAAAGTTCGAGTTTGTTCGTGTTCGAATAATTTAGGAGATAAACTTTTTTAAATATGTTTGATTATTGAAAATAAAAATATATAATAAAAATATTTTTACATTTTAGTTTTTTAATTAGATATATCATGTAAATATACAAAAAATAAAATAAAATTATATAAAATTAAGGTTAGAAATTTTCACACTATCGAACATTGTTTTAAAACGCGTATAGCGTAATGCGTCGCATATTGGTCTTTATACTGCGTAGCGTAAACAACGTTGCGTGTTGCGTAAGCTATTTGGGTATAATTTTTTTTACATAAATATTACAAGTATATTTGTATATAATAAGAATAGATGGTTGGTTACAAAAATTATCATAGTATCTGAATAACTTCAAAAATAAAATCTAAGAATTAAAATTCACAAATGTTTAATGTAAATATTATCATAATATAAATATTTAATAATAAATCGAATATACTAAAATGTAAAAACAAACAACGAAAATATAATATGAGGTAAGTCATAGTATAATTTTAAGTATATGCATTTTAATTATTAAAAATGGACCAAAAAATATTGTACTATTCAACTTAGGATTTTGCTTTGTCAAACTTTTAATTTGAAATCATTATCAAAATTTTTAAGTTTTAATTGTCATTTGTAAATATGACTTCGATCCCTAAAAAATTTGAGTTTTTGAATATTTTATTCTTCAAATATCGTTGCAGAAATATAACAAATGTAACGCACAATAGTGTGAGCGTAAGAAAACGTGGCGTTTCAACATTTTGTGTAATCTTTTTGAAAAAAATACTAAATATATAAGGTTACGTCGAGTTTTTCCGAAAAAAAGCTATATAGCAAGCTATTTAAAACAATGGTATCGAAACAAAATGTCAAAATGTTCAAGAAAAGAACAGAAACCAAAAAGGCAGAAATTCTATGGCGCCACATGTGGCACGTGTTATGGTGCCACAACATGATGTGGCACATCATGATTGGTGCCATAACATGATGTGTGATAGTTGTGGCACCAATCATAATGTGTCACATCATGTTGTGGCACCATATAATTTCTGCCAAAAAGGTCCTTAGTCCACTCAAAGTGGCGGCAAACTCTAAGCGGACCGACCCAAATTTCATTTTCATTTTGTTATTTGAAGCGCACATATTATAACTCTCTATCATTTCATTTCCCGCCTAAGCCCTCCCGCCCTCAGCCTCTAGAAGGACCTCTATGCAAATCCAGTGCTTTTTGTAAAAGAACACTCTCAGATCTGATCCGACCACCACTCATGGGTGCCCCGCCGGAGAACTCGGAGCTCGGCCTCCAACTCAGCACGACTCGGCTGACCACCGCCGCCTGGCACGTTCTCGATCCTGTAATCCGGCGCCGGCGTCCCGCCCGACTCTCCGACCTGGCTACGATTTTTGCCTCTACTCCGGAGTTCGTACGCCTCCTCTGCTCGCTCCCTGATTATCCTCTCCGATTGGGGGATGATCTCTCCGTCACGCTGTCGCCGCTGGGAGTCATCACGGTTGCAGCTCGTTCGGATGTGATTAGGAGATACCTGGATTTTCCACCGACTGTGCCGCGGTTGTATTTAGATGTTCCGTTGAATGAGATAGTGAGGACGTGCTGTAGGAAACGGAAGAGGGTGAGGTTGGAAGTTGCCGATTTATCGCCGCCGGAAAAGAGGAATTGTTTAACTGACGTTGGAGGTAGAGGGATTTTACTGATGATCCCAGTTTGTCTTTAAATCTATCTGCTTTTAAACGTTAGTTAAACAAGTCACTGTACTTATGTTTAAAAAATTCGTTTAATGCATTATTGCTTTTCTGTTCCATTGTCATCGATCTCCCTCTTCGTGCTACTTTGATGGTGATTCTATTTATTTATTCTGGCAGATGAGATGAATTTTAGCTGGTCGACTATGATAGCCATGATGGGTGGCCCGCTTCAGAATGTTCATACTCAGGTAATTCCTGGCGTTCTTCCAATGAGCATGATTTATGAATATAGCTGCTCGTATGATTCATATTAGGTTGGTGGTTCTTGTAAATAATGAACTAACAGCAAACATTGAAATACATTCCACTGGCAGTAGAATGACACCTTTGTAAGATTGTTAATATTTATGAAAAACTGATAATTTGTAATTTAAATAGGATAAGTGTTTTATAATATATGAAGTCCCAATAGGAATGGAAAAGGCAGTGGAGCTAGCTTGAATCTGCCCTCATGTTGGCAAATTAACTAGATTTCTAAGACAACACAAGAGGGACCATAGCTCGAGAATCCAGATGTTTTTATAAATCATGGATGAGGTGATATTTAATTAGCATGCCAAATATTATTGCATACCAGAACATCATTCAGAAGGTATCTCCGGGAGCCGCTATTTTGATCCATTTTTGCCGACTCACCCTATATAATGGAAATTGGATACTTACTATCTGTCACTTCTGAGGTCCACTTCCAAGTGCTAGGGAGGTTAGAGGAAAATGAAGATTCATCTAAGTTGGCTATGAGAAGACCATTAGGAGCTCAGTTTTTATTTTCTACGCTTAACTTCTAAAGACTGCTTTGCATGTCTCATTATTGTAGCATAAGAAAATGCATTAATATTGTTATATCAAGTGTATTTCCAACGAACTCTTTATTTTGTACTCGTAACTGAAAATTAAGAAACTGAGAGGTTTTAACTTTTAACACACATTATGCAGCCTATAGGGAAGCTGTCATTGAGAATAGGTATAAGTCCGAGACAGTACCTGAATCAACTCAAATGTCAGAATCACTGATGACATACAGTTATTCCATAAGTTATGTGATTAGGGTCAACACATAATCAAATTGTAAGCAAAATTGCAAATGCTTTGAATAATTTTACTGAACTGTTCTGCAGTATTAAATCACATTCAGAATATTGTAATCCTGAATTTCAAGTTTGAGTCATGTTAATCTGTTGGCTCTAATATGTAATGATGAATGGAGTTAGCAGGCACCATCTTACTTAATGTGCATGTGTGCTGCTACAGTCTTTTATTACCGTGCAGGACTTTTCTAAGGATATTTATTAGTGTTCATAAATCACAATACATTACTTGCTTTATATTTATTATTTTATTTTCTTGGAATCCATTCCCTAAGGCTGTCTTCAAGTATTATTTAGTATCTCAGACCCATTTGCTACTCTCACTGTATATTGATTTATGATGAACCTCCAATTTTCAGTTTATTCGGAAACCACCAATCTTGGAATGTGATAATGGGGAATTCGAAAAGGTTATAGAACCAGCCATGTTTACAGAGCCAAGTTTTGGACATGTGAGCTCTGACAATGAGGATCTTGAGCACAAGTATGACGAGATGGGAGTCAAATATCTCCACGAAGAAGGGTTTGGTATTTCACATCAACAGAGGTGCACTCCATTTCACAGTACATCTCCAGATAAACATGAAATAGGGGCAGAAGTGATGATAAATTCCTTCAATCTTCCACAGCTGCCACTTCCACCACATGTATTGGGAAATTCAGGAGGGGGCGAAATTGATGACCTTTATGTTGCAAATTCTATTGATTCACTAGAAGAGCAGATGATAGATTCACATGAGGGAAATGAGGCTGTTATTCAAGGGTTTCAGTCATTAACTGAACATGTGAATGGGAACACAAAGGAAGTTAGCTTACTCGATCCTGTTACATCTGTAGGCCATAACCAAAATCAGCCAACAAAGGCCACCTTCAAAGATATATCTTGCTTAGATAAGCCTGGGGAGGTTCTATGTAAGGCCAACAACGAAGCATTTCTTGAACCTATAACTGAAGATCGTTTAGAGTGTCAGGGAGAACTGCAAATTCCCCCCAGCAGACCGGTACATAAGGATGGAATGTGTGACATGGGAAAATCTATACCCCTCAGCAGAGAGACCTGCAAATCCCCTCCTTATAAAGGCCCAGAACAATTAAAATTATACAAGAACCTGAGTGATAAGAAGCAATACATGAAGTTGAATTACATGAATAATGGAAAGAGAGAACCATTCCTGGAGAAAAGGGAAAAGGCTTCCTCTGTATCCAACGTAAGTTTACATCTCGGATTTCTGGTTACACGGCGTATTGAAAACTCTATCGTATTACTGTTATACTTCTAAACTAACAATGATGCGCTTGTTTTAGAATCGTAATGATAAAAAACCTTTTCCCGAGTTCGAGTCTTTCGTTGTAGAAGAAGAAGAGGGCTCAGGTATGATACTGAACTGACAATGGTCATAAAAGAAAGTAGTGTTTTGTTTTCCTTAGACTTTTAGTAGTGGCTGATCTGTATTCCTTTTTACCTGCACAGGAGGTTATGGTACAGTTTATCGAGCAAGACGAAAAGCTGATGGAGTAACATTTGCCATCAAATGTATGGAACCTGCTTCTCTTGTAGTTTCTCTTCTAGGTTTCTATATCCATTTATCTCTCTTGCTCCTTTGAGGCACCAATGTGAAGAAAAACAACTTATTCTGAAGAAGGCAATAATTCACTTTTGGTAAAAGAATAGACAGTAGTAACTTACTAACCCACTGCAATAGCATTGCACCTTGTCATTCCGTCTACTGAAGTTGTCTGAGTGTGGGAATTTTTTTTATTGTGTTCTCTATTAGCTTGGTGCTGCTATTTTTTTTTTTTTTTTT